GTTTGATCTTGAGACGGGTGGAACAGCTCGACTTAGAACTGGTGGAAGCAGTGAGGGCAATGCAGGCATCCCCGCTAGTACTGACCTCAAAAATTGCATTCCATTTGCTTCGAAGTTTGGAAAAAGTCAAATTTGACTAGTAATTTCAAGCGCCATCGCTTTTTGCATATATTCGCACAGTGCACGGGGCAGAAAAAGCAGCGACGCGAAATTTGGCCAACGATGAGCTAGAAGCGCATTCTGCCGCGAATCTAAATGAGACGGTTGGGATGCTCTCTTGCGGCTGCCAGTCCACATGCTGCCATTGCTGTTTGTCAACAGCCAAATTGTGTCCCTGTTTATTAAGTGCAATTAAATGGTTGCGTTTTGTGTTAAGCTTTATACCAATTTTTGGTGTCGTGTGAAGCCAAAGATCTTGCAATATCTGCTGTGATTTCTTTGGAATGGTTACAAACTTCTTTGTTATGTGTGATACGATATACACTGTCGCCAGTGAAGTATGGTGAGATGTGTTGGCACAGCAACGGCCTGTGCTTTGTGTGACGCGCCCCAGTCTGCCCTGTAACAGTTGCCTCACACGTCTCAGAACCAGCTGTAGCTGTGATCCCTGAAAAAAATCTCGTTTTCTGCATACAGTACAATATCTTCTGTAGGACACCTTTAATGCGGTGCGATATTATATGCAAATAATTATTCAGAGAGGCTGCATACAGCGGCGAAGGCGTGGTGCTCATTTCCAGCTGCCCATGCATGGAGTAATGAATTACGAGCTGCATAGTACAATCGAGTTTTTTAACAAGAACTTTATTCACAACAGGTAGTTTTAACACGAGAAACGCAACAGTTAAAACGGCCCCTCCACAGCCCTCTTCATAGTAACAAGACGATTTCTCTATAACTCTCTTTACGGCAAAAAAAAAAATCGCGGGTCCCTTCATAACCCTTTCCAAAAAAAAAAAACACACACACACGCTGGTCCCTCCATAACCCTCCTCACAAATAACATGTCTTACAATAAAAGTGACAAAATATTCCCACATTTTCTTTACACTTAAACGACGAATTAACAACAAACACCTTCTTTCTCACAGTAAAAAACAACAAATATCATATCTTCCTTACAGAGAGGACGAAATACAGGAATCAACTAGAAAAACAAACAAAATTAAAACGAATAATGTGGGAGCACCAAATGTTTAAGTCGCGAGAAAATGCGCAGTTCAGACAAGCGGCGCAAAGTGGAAGACGGCATTGGGTTCGTTCTGCGGCTTGGACGATTCGAGGTCGACCGCCGCCAGATGAGGCATTCTTTTCAGCTCCTGGTTCCACAGCGTGCTGCAAACGTTGCGCTGTAGGCAGACACAGGAGAAGTTATGAAGGACAGAATCGCCAGCCAGCCAGCACGAGCGCATCCTGCTCACTGATTGATTGTTGTGTAAAGTTGGCGCCAGCCAAAAGATGCATAATATTTGGGAAGATAATAAAGTGCGCACAGCAAGTGCATCCCCAGTACATTGCATTTGGAATGAACTGGTCGTCCAAAGGCGAGGAAATAAATGCATGCGTGAGAAAATCTAATTATGGTGGTATAGCCAAAATCATGGAGGAATATGGAGCATTTAAGAATGACTAAGACTGAAGGAACCGACGATATTTAAATGTGGATTTATCGGAATGCACCTAAACCTCCATAGAGATATGTTAGCCCCTTTTGCAGTTACTTTTTTTTTTAACTTGATTCTTAGCTGCACATATATGCCACCCACTTCTTCGGAGTTTGTCAGCGCGGTTGTTTTCCTTATCGTAAACATAACTCAGCGGTGCAAATTATCAAATGATTGCCATTAAAACGAGACATGCTCCAGTCACGAGTTTTAACTTTCACTGCAGAATTTTTAAATAAAAATCACAAATTTAGCGCATGATTCCACATTTTGGTCCGTAAAAAAATAG